GTGTGTGTGTGTGTGATAGGTGTGTGTGTGTGTGTGCGTAACATAATCTGGAGATAGGGTTGACCTTCGCGCGTGTGTGAACAAGCGCACAGTAACATAATCTGGGGATATACATGGAGGTATAGATTGAAAGGCAGTGAGGTGGGGAGGGAGGGGTGCATCGGGGATGTGAAAGAGGGATATATGTCTGTGAAAGAAGAAGGAGAGGGAGAGTGAGAGAAAGATTGAGGTCTCTCAGGAGAGGGGAAGGGGAGTGTCTCTGGGTGGGAGGACGAGTGCTAATCCCCCCCCCTCCCCTCACATATCCCCTCCTCACCCCTCTACTCTACTTCTCCCCTACTCCCTCACTACACCAGGACTGGCTCTCCACCGGTAATGGCTAACGACCACTTGTTATTATCTTCAATAATTTCACCTAAATGTCTTCCTCTCAATACCAGACCAACCATTATGAATATTATACCTGAAGACTGACACATAACACGGACCCCCCCCCCACCCCCCCTAGTTTACACACACTGTCGCGCTGCGGTGGTGCAGCTTCACCACTCCCTACCACACACACACACACACACACACACACACACACACACACACATATGGGCCTGGTAGCCTGGTGGATGGCGTGCAGGGTTCGTAATTCTGTGGCGCGGGTTCGATTCCCGCACCAGGCAGAAACAAATGGGCAAAGTTTCTTTCACCCTGAATGCCCCTGTTACCTAGCAATAAAAAGGTACCTGGGAGTTAGTCAGCTGTCACGGGCTGCTTCCTGGGATGTGTGTGTGTGTATGGTGTGGAAAAAAAAGTAGTTAGTAAACAGTTGATTGACAGTTGAGAGGCGGCCCGAAAGATCAAAGCTCAACCCCCCCCCCCCCCAACTAAGTGAACACAACTAGGTGAATACACACACAATTATTCAACACTGGTGGTACATGAACAAGGGGACACAGGTGGAAACTCAGTACCCACATGAGCCACAGAGACGTTAGAAAGAACTTTTTCAGTGTCAGAATAGTTAACGGATGGAATGCATTAGGCAGTGATGTGGTGGAGGCTGACTCTATACACAATTTCAAATGGAGATATGATAGAGCTCATTAGGCTCAGGAATCTGTACACCAGTTGATTGACAGTTGAGAGGCGGGACCAAAGAGCCAAAGCTCAAATCCCACAAGGACAAATAGGTGAGTACACACACACATATATATATATATATATATATATATATATATATATATATATATATGCGAACAAGCCTGAATGGTCCCCAGGACATATGCAACTGAAAACTCACACCCCAGAAGTGACTCGAACCCATACTCCCAGCGGGTTACTCCCGCTGGGAGTAACCCATACTCCCATACTCCCATACACCATATATATATATATATATATATATATATATATATATATATATATATATATATATATATATATATATATATATATATATATATATATATATATATATTGGAGACAGTTACTCTATCTACTGCGCTACTTAGCTAGCCTTAAAAGGGAAGGATCCCAAAGCAACTAACGGCTACCACACATATGTTCCAGGAAAGTTCCAGTTTCAGTTCCATAGACATATTATCCCAACATTTGTACAGCTGCCTCTGGTGTAGTGGAGAGCACTCTCGCCCAGCACGAGTCCCAAGCCACAGTGCACCCGGGATCGAGCCCTGAATTGGGAGGAATGATTACACAAAAATCTATAATAATTTGCCCCTCCTCACCAAGAAGTAACTGTGACTGGCCGGTCGTGTTCCAGGGAAAATAAGTAGAGTGAATTATACAAGAATACATAAGATGAGTTATACAAGGCAGAGCGCTAACCCTCCACCCAAGAATCACAAGTTGACTCCTCTTTCCTCCAATGTAAAAAATGAAAAAATCATAATGTTGTAATGTTGTAAATTAATGAGTAAGTGAAATGTGGCGCGTTGAGTCCGTAGACTCCTCTGAACAATGCCTAATTGACAATTTACTACAAAAGCAAAAAAACGGCCAATGTACTCATGAAAAACGCCCCAAACACCAAACAGAACGCCTTGAAGGAATCCAACGTCGTCTATGCCTTCTCATGCCCGCTTGGGGACTGTAAGCCCCAAAGATCTCAGTATATAAGCAAGACAACAACGTCTCTTTCTAGACGATTAACCATGCACAAACAACAGGGCTCCATCAAGGAACATATAATCTCTTCTCACAACCAGACCATCACCAGAGAAATCTTAACAAGCAACACAGAAATCATCGATAAATACAGTGATAGCAGGAGACTCGACATCAGCGAGGCACTACACATCAAGAAGTCAACACCAGCAATCAACAGCCAATTAATGCACAACTATATTCTACCCACTTCAAGACTCCGTACCAATATGGAAGCAGCAAGAGGAAGTATGGGCCAATAGGCCCTTTGCAGTTACTCCATTCTTATGTTCTCATATCCAAGTTATACAAATTGTTTCGTGTTCTGTCTTATGTTTCACATCACTCAAAACTTTTGTGCCATATCACCTCACCCAAGAAGGGTATAAGTATGAATGTATTTTGTGTGTAAATTAAGTCTTTGAACATGTAATAAGGAATTACGAAACTCGTTTAGGCGTCAGACTAGGAATAAAAAGAATGAATTTTGGAGAGTTATTTTATCAATTACCCTCGACAGTAAAGAAAAACGTAAAAAATATTGAGAAGATTCGTGTTAGAATTATACATCTTACCCTTTCGGTCATATCGTTTATGAACTATATATATATATATATATATATATATATATATATATATATATATATATATATATATATATATATATATATATATATATATATATATGTCGTACCTAATAGCCAGAACGCACTTCTCAGCCTACTATTCAAGGCCCGATTTGCCTAATAAGCCAAGTTTTCATGAATTAATGTTTTTTTGGTCTACCTAACCTACCTAACCTAACCTAACCTAGCTTTTTTTGGCTACCTAACCTAACCTTACCTATAAATATAGGTTAGGTTAGGTTAGGTAGGGTTGGTTAGGTTCGGTCATATATCTACGTTAATTTTAACTCCAATAAAAAAAAATTGACCTCATACATAGAGAAAAGGGTTGCTTTATCATTTCATAAGAAAAAAATTAGAGTAAATATATTAATTCATGAAAACTTGGGTTATTAGGCAAATCGGGCCTTGAATAGTAGGCTTGTTTGCAAAAGTGAGTTCTGGCTACTAGGTACGACATATATATATATATATATATATATATATATATATATATATATATATATATATATATTCATATATATATACCCAGCCATCATGGAAACATAGGAGATTGGTAAGTTGCAATGGGCCTTTTGTCCCATAAGTGAGGTGCTTCACCTTCACCTCATCCCTGGCTATATATCCGGCTGCATGACCTTTACAACCTCAACGACTAAAGATCACATTCACTCCAAAAAATCTACCACCTACGGGCTATTCATGACCTCTTGGGCTGGCTTAATCTTCATAAATCAGTCTTTGCAACCATTCCAACTCTGCCTTTGAAAATGTTAACAAGAATTAACATTTACGAAACGCATTTATTATTTAATATTGGTCAAATATTACTTTAATTAGGAAATGCTGAGATTTGACCGTCTTTTTTAGATTAGATGAGGATGATAAGTTGGTTTTTGTTTAACATATACACTATTTCTTTAGTACCATAGTGTACCTGTCATCAGTACCATAGTGTACCTGTCATCAGTACCATAGTGTACCTGTCTTTAGTACCATAGTGTACCTGTCTTTAGTACCATAGTGTACCTGTCTTTAGTACCATAGTGTACCTGTCTTTAGTACCATAGTGTACCTGTCTTTAGTACCATAGTGTACCTGTCTTTAGTACCATAGTGTACCTGTCTTTAGTACCATAGTGTACCTGTCTTTAGTACCATAGTGTACCTGTCTTTAGTACCATAGTGTACTGAATGTTCCTGTCACTCTATAAGAAAAAATAATCGACAAACCTATTATTGGAATTAGGCGACTCAGCTAAAAACGACAGAAAAAGGGAAGTCAATACAAAATAGGGCACAGAAATATATATTCCATCCGGGTGTGTTGCTAAGAGAGGGTGTTACCATGTTGAAAGAACATGAAAATTGGTCCTACACTCTCATGGAGCGGCTAGTGTGAGCTGCAAATTGGTAGTTCACTCTTGGTCTTCGGGATGGTTGGACGTGTAAGTTGGGTGTTGATAATAGGACGAGTGCTTGATGTGAAGTGCTTCTGCTATGTGACTCTTCATCTCTAATTCTGTCTGTCTGTCTGTCTCTCTCTCTCTCTCTCTCTCTCTCTCTCTCTCTCTCTGTCTCTCTCTCTCTCACTCTCTCTCTCTCTCTCTCTCTCTCTCTCTCTCTCTCTCTCTCTCTCTCTCTCTCTCTCTCTCTCTCTCTCTCTCTCTCTCTCTCTCTCTCTCTCTCTCTCTGTAAAACGTAATTACAAATGAGGTCCCAAGGGTTGACAAAAGCAATCGTCCTTTAGGTTGAGTTCCTCCTTGTAGGGAATTACCCCGGGGCTCGCTGCCCACCTCTCCTGCCCCTGGGGACTACTGGCTCCCGGCACCACCACACCGCTCTCCTCAACCCCAGGCCGCCATCCCCAGCACCTATATGCTGGTCACCACTCACACTTGATGGCTACTGTAACAACACTTCAGTCACTCGCTTGACTGTTCCCACACCCACCATCATATCTGGTGGCAAAGATCTATCCAAAGACAGGAGATAATGTATATATGACACCAATGGACCCTTCACACCACTGGACCCCCTCACAAAACTGGACCCCCTCACACCACTGGACCCTTTACACCACTGGACCCTTTACACCAATGGACCCTTTACACCAATGGACCCTTTACACCACTGGACCCTTTACACCACTGGACCCCTCACACCACTGGACCCTTTACACCACTGGACCCTTTACACCAATGGACCCTTTACACCAATGGACCCTTTACACCACTGGACCCCTCACATCACTGGACCCTTTACACCACTGGACCCTTCACACCACTGGACCCTTCACACCACTGGACCCTTTACACCAATGGACCCTTTACACCGCTGGACCCTTTACACCAATGGACCCTGCACACCACTGGACCCCTCACATCACTGGACTCTTCACACACCACTGGACACGAGTGGGGCCAGGTACTCCCAGCCACCTGTACCCACTCCCAGCCACCTGTACCCACTGCCAGCCACCTGTACCCACTCCTGTACCCACTGCCAGCCACCTGTACCCACTGCCAGCCACCTGTACCCACTACCAGCCACCTGTACCCACTCCAGCAGCCACCGGTACCCACTCCCAGCCACCTGTACCCACTCCCAGCCACCTGTACCCACTGCCAGCCACCTGTACCCACTGCCAGCCACCTGTACCCACTGCCAGCCACCTGTACCCACTCCCAGCCACCTGTACCCACTCCCAGCCACCTGTACCCACTGCCAGCCACCTGTACCCACTGCCAGCCACCTGTACCCACTGCCAGCCACCTGTACCCACTCCCAGCCACCTGTACCCACTCCCAGCCACCTGTACCCACTCCCAGCCACCTGTACCCACACCCAGCCACCAGTACCCACTGCCAGCCACCTGTACCCACTGCCAGCCACCTGTACCCACTCCCAGCCACCTGTACCCACTGCCAGCCACCTGTACCCACTGCCAGCCACCTGTACCCACTCCCAGCCACCTGTACCCACTGCCAGCCACCTGTACCCACTGTACCCACTGCCAGCTACCTGTACCCAGCCACCTGTACCCACTGCCAGCCACCTGTACCCACTCCCAGCCACCTGTACCAGCCACCTGTACCCACTCCCAGCCACCTGTACCCACTCCCAGCCACCTGTACCCACTCCAGCCACCTGTACCCACTGCCAGCCACCTGTACCCACTGCCAGCCTCCTGTACCCACTGCCAGCCTCCTGTACCCACTGCCAGCCACCTGTACCCACTCCCAGCCACCTGTACCCACCACCTGTACCCACTGCCAGCCACCTGTACCCACTGCCAGCCACCTGTACCCACTGCCAGCCACCTGTACCCACTCCCAGCCACCTGTACCCACTGCCAGCCACCTGTACCCACTCCCAGCCACCTGTACCCACTGCCCCAGCCACCTGTACCCACTGCCAGCCACCTGTACCCACTGCCAGCCACCTGTACCCACTGCCAGCCACCTGTACCCACTGCCAGCCACCTGTACCCACTGCCAGCCACCTGTACCCACTGCCAGCCACCTGTACCCACTGCCAGCCACCTGTACCCACTGCCAGCCACCTGTACCCACTCCCAGCCACCTGTACCCACTACCAGCCACCTGTACCCACTCCCAGCCACCTGTACCCACTGCCAGCCACCTGTACCCACTGCCAGCCACCTGTACCCACTGCCAGCCACCTGTACCCACTGCCAGCCACCTGTACCCACTGCCAGCCACCTGTACCCACTGCCAGCCACCTGTACCCACTCCCAGCCACCTGTACCCACTCCCAGCCACCTGTGACGTGTAATAATACCGACGTAGCGTGCCGGCATTAATCTCCTCCCCGTCGGCCGGTCTGTTATATCCGGCCAAGTTTTATATGAATCGATTTTAATATCTGTCAGCTGATGCTGGTGACAGACATGAGGACAAAGCCCACCACAATACCCCCCCTTCTCCCTCCCCATCATCCCTCCCCCCCCACCTCTTCCCTCAACCTTACGTAACCCTTCTTCACTATCTTCTTAATTCCTTATTTACTTATGACTTTCCCTTCTTCCACCAACCATCGTTCTCCCTCATACTAACATTTTCCCTCCCCGCTACCGTCCTCCTCACCTGTAGACCATTGACCCCCTCCTTCACTCCTCTCCCTCACCCCTTCCTCACTCATCTCCCTCACCCCTCCCTCACCCCACGTCCCTCGTGCCTCATCCACCCGCCCCTCCTCGTTCCCCAGTGAGAGTTGAGGACCTGCCCAGTACCCCGTGGGGCGGGCACCGCTGCCCAAGGCCTGGTGGCGGGGCAGCAAGATTCCTCACACACACACACACACACACACACACACACACACACACACACACACACACACACACACACACACACACACACACACACACACACACACACACAACAGAAGAATCCATGGTATAATAAGGCATGTATGGAAGCAAAGGGACTGAACAAGAGGGCGTGGAGGAACTTCCGGAATAACAGAACACCAGAAAGCAGAGAGAGATACCAGAGAACCAGGAATGAGTATGTCAGGGTGAGAAGAGAAGCAGAGAAAAATTATGAAAATGATATAGCAAGCAAAGCCAAGACCGAACCAAAGCTACTCCATAGATACATCAGGAGGAAAACAACAGTGAAAGAACAGGTAATGAAACTTAGAACAGGCGAGGACAGGTATACAGAGAATGACAGAGAGGTGTGTGAAGAACTCAACAAGAGGTTCCAGGAGGTGCTAGGAAAAAGGGAAGTAAACCAGGCGGCCTTGGAAGGGTTCGAAACTACGAGTGAGGAGGTCAAGGGACACCTGCTGGATCTGGACGTCAGAAAGGTTGTTGGTCCAGACGGGATCTCGCCATGGGTACTGAAAGAGTGTGCAGAGGCACTTTGCTTGCCACTCTCCATCGTGTATAGTAGGTCACTGGAGACGGGAGACCTACCAGAAATATGGAAGACGGCGAATGTGGTCCCAATATACAAAAAGGGCGACAGGCAAGAGACACTGAACTACAGGCCAGTGTCCTTGACTTGTATACCATGCAAGGTGATGGAGAAGATCGTGAGAAAAGACCTAGTAACACATCTGGAGAGAAGGGACTTCGTGACAAATCGACAACATGGATTCAGGGAGGGTAAATCTTGCCTGACTGACTTAATAGAATCCTACGACCAGGGGACAAAGATTAAGCAAGAAAGAGAAGGCTGGGCGGACTGCATTTTCTTGGATTGTCGGAAAGCCTTTGACACAGTACCGCATAAGTGGCTGGTACATAAGCTGGAGAGACAGGCAGGTGTAGCTGGTAAGGTGCTCCAGTGGATAAGGGAGTACCTAAGCAATATGAAGCAGAGAGTTACGGTGAGGGGTGAGACCTCAGCTTGGCGTGAAGTCAGAAGTGGAGACCCACAGGGCTCTGTACTCGGTCCTATCTTGTTTCTGATATACGTAAATGATCTCCCGGAGAGTATAGATTCATTTCTCTCAATGTTTGCTGACAATGCCAAAATTATGAGAAGGATTAAAACAGAGGAGGACTGCTTGAGGCTTCAAGAAGACCTAGACAAGCTGAAGGAATGGTCGAACAAATGGTTGTTAGAGTTTAACCCAAGCAAATGTAATGTAATGAAGATAGGCGTAGGAATCAGGAGGCCAGATACTAGGTATCATCTGGGAGATGAAATTCTTCATCAGTCAGAAAGAGAAAAAAAACTTGGGGTTGACATCACGCCAGACCTGTCCCCTGCAGCCCATATAAAGAGGATAACATCAGCGGCATATGCCAGGCTGGCCAACATAAGAACGGCATTCAGAAACTTGTGTAAGGAATCATTCAGAACTTTGTATACCACATATGTCAGGCCAATCCTGGAGTATGCAGCCCCAGCATGGAGTCCATATCTAGTCAAGGATAAGACCAAACTGGAAAAGGTTCAAAGGTTTGCCACCAGACTAGTACCCGAGCTGAGAGGTATGAGCTACGATGAGAGGCTACGTGAATTAAACCTCACTTCGATGGAAGACAGAAGAGTTAGGGGGGGGGACATGATCACCACATTCAAGATTCTCAAGGGAATTGATAGGGTAGATAAAGACAGGCTATTTAACACAAGGGGCACACGCACTAGGGGACACAGGTGGAAACTGAGTGCCCAAATGAGCCACAGAGATATTAGAAAGAACATTTTTAGTGTCAGAGTGGTTGACAAATGGAATGCATTAGGCAGTGATGTGGTGGAGGCTGACTCCATACACAGTTTCAAGTGTAGATATGATAGAGCCCAATAGGCTCAGGAACCTGTACACCTGTTGATTGACGGTTGAGAGGCGGGACCAAGAAGCCAGAGCTCAACCCCCCCGCAAGCACAACTAGGTGAGTACACTAAGTAACACTACTATGCCACCACCTTCATAAGTAACACTGCTACTGCCACCACCTTCATAAGTAACACTACTACTGCCACCACCTTCATAAGTAACACTACTAATGCCACCACCTTCATAAGTAACACTACTACTGCCACCACCTTCATAAGTAACACTACTACTGCCACCACCTTCATAAGTAACACTGCTACTGCCACCACCTTCATAAGTAACACTACTACTGCCACCACCTTCATAAGTAACACTGCTACTGCCACCACCTTCATAAGTAACACTACAACTGCCACCACCTTCATAAGTAACACTGCTACTGCCACCACCTTCACCGCCCATATAGATGGGCGAGCACTTGAGAACTGCGAGTCTTACAGATACCTTGGTGTCCCCATTAACGACCCTGGGTACCTTGGTGTCCCCATTAACGACCCTGGGTACCTTGGTGTCCCCATTAACGACCCTGGGTACCTTGGTGTCCCCATTAACGACCCTGGGTACCTTGGTGTCCCCATTAACGACCCTGGGTACCTTGGTGTCCCCATTAACGACCCTGGGTACCTTTCTTCTCTCAAGAGGAGACTGTGGGAGAGATTAAAGCCCTTGCGGGTCCTTGTTGGTGTCAATCATGGACTTAACGTGAGACTTGCTAGAATGTTTTATGTATCATTTATACGCTCTGTGATTGACTACAATGCTCTACATCTCACACTGTATACTGACAAAGGGCTGAAATCTCTTGAAACCTTGCAAAATGAAGCTATGCGTCTCATCCTTGGGGCTCCAAAGTCCACGAGAGTACTTAATATGAGAGCAGAGTTAAAATTACCTACTATTAGTGAGAGAATTTTGTCTATTAGCACAGTTTTCGGCGTGAAGGCTTTGAGTAGATCTCGGCAACACATGAAGTTTCAAGCTAAACTTTCTAATATGCTGCACTCACCTGAGGTCTATAGAAGAAGAGCGAAATCTGATTATGCATTTTGGTTCTACAAGGTAGCCAACTCCATCAAAATATTAAATATGTACCCAACTCAATTGATGATTAATCAACCAATTACTCCATGGGATAACTGGGATGTATCAGTTGATTTTGTAAATGCGCTCAAGAAAGATAGTCTACACTCTACATTAATAAAACAATTAACACTGAAGCGCATCACTGAAAGTACTCAGAGTATGGGTAACGATGTGTATCAGTGCTATACCGACGGCTCTGCAGAAGGTGGACGTTGTACCGAATGTGCATGTAATATATTTGAACAATCTTCTCTCGTACATACAGCAATGAAGCGCGTCAATGACTGGGCAAGTACAACTCAAACCGAACTTGCAGGCATATACCTTGCCAATGAATTTTTAAAAGATAAAGGCAGTGGACTTATATACTGTGACTCGCAGAGTGCACTCCTGGCATTGAACGCACATAGTAGTGACACCCAGAAAATAGTCAGTGATATTCGAATGAATGTTTTAGTTGCTAAAGAAACAGATTTGAAATTAAATTCCTAAGGATACCATCACATGTTGGCATCTCAAGGCATGACACTGTTGATATGCTTGCTAAGACAGTCTGTAGAAAACCAGTGGTAGAAATTGATATGGGTGTTTCATTAGCAGTGACAAAGAGAATACTTAAACAAATATCTAATGAAGATCTCACAGACCTAACAAATTCTCAAAGACCTGAAAGTTGTAGCATTAAATATTATGATAGATATCGTGAGGAGACATTCACATATGGGACTAATAGAACAAGAACCCGGCAATGTGATGTTATAGTGGCCAGAATACGCCTGGGATATAGACGTATCTGGCAGCTTTCTCAAAACCCAAATGTCGAGTACACAATGTGTCAACTTTGTGAAAGAGAAAACATGCACTCTCTTGAACATTATATTGTAGAATGTCCCATACTGACTGACTCGCCCTCCTGGGCTAAGGTATGCTGAACTCTGTAATTACTATATGAGTACTGGAACACTATGATATATTGGACTTGTACCCAAGATTGACCATGTAATGTATCAATTATACAATGTATGTATGTGATGTAACTATATAACCTGAGCTTGTAAAAGCACCTTAATCACCACTGACACTTGTTGATTGACAGTTGAGAGGCGGGACCAAAGAGCCAGAGCTCAACCCCCCGCAAGCACAATTAGGTGAGCACACACACGCACACGCGCACGCACGTGTGCGTGTGCGTGTGCAACATACACTCATAAGTGTATGTGTGTGTGTGTGTGTTTTAAGTGAAAATGTAATAGAATCAGGAATATATGTAAATCAGGAATCTGTTCACCAGTTGATTGACAGTTGAGAGGCGGGACCAAAAAGCGAAATCTCAACCCCCACAAGCACAAAGAGATGAGTACACACACACAAAATACAATAAACAGATTGTATTCTTCAAATCAGAGGTTTAAATTTCTTGTCACCACAGTAAATATTATAGAAATAAATTACAAATTAAAAATAAATATAATTATTTAGCACGAAGGCCAAAAAAATAAATACTGTATTAATTATAAGTATGTAACGAAAGCAGAAACGTACCCAAAAATATTGTAGTTTATATGTGGCGACGAGACTGTGTATGGTTGGCAGCCCTCTCTGTAGACCCGGACACGCTGGAGCGCTGGAGAGGAATGACGGAGCCTCCGACCGAGCCTCACCTTATATAGTGGAGGACGCGCATGCGCGTGAGTGTCGCAGCGACGCGTGGGAGACCCAGAGTAGGTGAAGAGGCCAGCACAAGGACGGCACTCTCTGGCTCTCGTGACACTGGCACTCCTTCTGGCTCTCGTGACACTGGCACTCCTTCTGGCACTCGTGACACTGGCACTCCTTCAGGCACTCGTGACACTGGCACTCCTTCAGGCACTGGTGACACTGGCACTCCTTCAGGCACTCGTGACACTGGCACTCCTTCTGGCACTCGTGACACTGGCACTCCTTCAGGCACTCGTGACACTGGCACTCCTTCAGGCACTCGTGACACTGGCACTCCTTCTGGCACTCGTGACACTGGCACTCCTTCAGGCACTCGTGACACTGGCACCACTCGTGACACTGGCACTCCTTCAGGCACTCGTGACACTGGCACTCCTTCAGGCACTCGTGACACTGGCACTCCTTCAGGCACTCGTGACACTGGCACTCCTTCAGTCACTCGTGACACTGGCACTCCTTCTGGCACTCGTGACACTGGCACTCCTTCTGGCACTCGTGACACTGGCACTCCTTCTGGCTCTCGTGACACTGGCACTCCTTCTGGCACTCGTGACACTGGCACTCCTTCAGGCACTCGTGACACTGGCACTCCTTCAGGCACTCGTGACACTGGCACTCCTTCTGGCACTCGTGACACTGGCACTCCTTCTGGCTCTCGTGACACTGGCACTCCTTCAGGCACTCGTGACACTGGCACTCCTTCAGGCACTCGTGACACTGGCACTCCTTCTGGCACTCGTGACACTGGCACTCCTTCAGGCACTCGTGACACTGGCACTCCTTCAGGCACTCGTGACACTGGCACTCCTTCAGGCACTCGTGACACTGGCACTCCTTCACTCGTGACACTGGCACTCCTTCAGGCTGTGACACTGGCACTCCTTCAGGCACTCGACACTGGCACTCCTTCTGGCACTCGTGACACTGGCACTCCTTCAGGCACTCGTGACACTGGCTCCCCTCACCCATGGTACACTCTTGTGTCCCCTCACACTCAAGTGTTGTGTCTCCATCTTGATACACTCAGAGTTTAATCTAGATTAATCTATCCAGGGCTGAGGTATAGTCCTGGGTGGTCAATATGGTTTGGGGTTGGACATAATGTTTAACAACCTCTGGAGGGTTGTTAAGGCCACTAACTATAAGTGCTAACTCACTAACCAACAAGAATATTTTGCAACTGAAAATAGTACAGAACCAAGGCAAGCTCTTAGCGTATATGCCCCGAGAAGCAGGGTATATATCAATATATCCCCCACAGAACCAATCAGAGTGCTATATACAACTGTCAGGGGGTATATCACTCTTTTGATTGGTTTAGTGTTGGCTTTACGGCCTATCAACCTCTCGACGGTTGTTAAGGTCACTACAGTTAATTACTTACTAAGAATAAGAATACTTTAGTCCAGTATTTATATATATATATATATATATATATATATATATATATATATATATATATATATATATATATATATATATATATATATATATAGATATACAGATATATATATATATATACCCCAGAATTAAATACCCCAGAATTCCTACCTCTCTTAAATGGCTTTGAAGTATGGTGTAGTGGATACAGCATGCAACTGCCACCTTGTTGGCCAGTGTTCGAGTCCCCTGGTGGGTTGAGTGTCTAAAAAGTTATAAACTTCAGCTACTGGAATAGGTAGTCTGTGCATTATATATATATATATATATATATATATATATATATATATATATATATATATATATATATATATTATTATATATATATATATAATATATATATATATATAATATATATATATATATATATATGCAATTGACGATCACAAAACACTGATCATTTTATGCGGAAAATCCACAGAGAAATATGAAATGAGGTGAACGTTTCGGCTTTGTTAAAGCCTTTGTCAACACCAGACTGACTGAGAAGGGAGAAGGGGGGAAGATATATAGGCCGACACCTGACCAACCCATCCCAAGGGTTGGTCAGGTGTAATTAACCAAAAACAGGTAGAGATTAGCTTAGAATGGTCAAAGAGGATTAAGCGGTCTATATATCTTCCCCCCTTCTCCCTTCTCAGTCAGTCTGGTGTTGACAAAGGCTTTAACAAAGCCGAAACGTTCACCTCATTTCATATTTCTCTGTGGATTTTCCGCATATATATATATATATATATATATATATATATATATATATATATATATATATATATATATATATATACAGAGGAACGTGTATATATCGTCAATAAATTGTTCTAGTTACTTTAAAGAATCTTAAGAGGTTGATAAGGCTTAAGCCCAACACCAAAGCAAACAAAGTTTACCTTCAAACAAAAAGTAACGTCTCTGTTATAGTTTAAATCAGTAACATATACACAGTGGTACTGAAACATCACTGGATGTAAACAAATTGACAGGACATCAGCGGGATACAGATTTGACACCTTGACCGACCACTCCTACCAGGTCGACCGTTTTCTATACCGTTGTCGTTTCAGATTCGCTACCAAGAACAAAAAGTTGGACGTAGGACGGGCCATGGTGAGCCCGCAGTGGACTTATTGTTTCTATGCTCTACCATCTTGAGGTTATCTTGAGATGATTTCGGGGTTTAGTGTCCCCGCGGCCCGGTCTTCGACCAGGTCTCCACCCCCAGGAAGCAGCCCGTAGCAGCTGTCTAACTCCCAGGTACCTATTTACTGCTAGGTAACAGGAGCATCAGGGGTAAAAGAAACATTTTGCCCATTTGTCTCCGCCTCCACCGGGGATCGAACCCGGAACCTCAGGACTCAAATCCGAAGCGCTGTCCGCCTAGCTGTCAGGCGCCCCGACACCATGCACACAGCGCGGACTTGCATGAATCCTCCAGCTTCATACTCTCATAGTTGTTTGTTCCCACAAGTCTACTGTAAAATGTGATCAGTTTTCTTTACGATCTGCTGACTCCACGAGAAGCATGGTCCAGTGTGGAGTATGGTCCAGTGTGGAGTATGAACCAGGGTGGAGCATGGTCCAGTGTGGAGTATGAACCAGGGTGGAGCATGGTCCAGTGTGGAGTATGAACCAGTGTGGAGCATGAACCAGTGTGGAGTGTGGTCCAGTGGAGCATGGTCCAGTGTGGAGCATGGCCCAGTGTAGAGTATGAACCAGTGTGGAGCATGATCCAGTATGAAGCATGGTCCAGTGGAGCATGGTCCAGTGTGGAGTATGAACCAGTGTGGAGCATGGTTCTGTGTGGAGTAGAACCAGTGTGGAGCATGGTCGTGTGGAGCATGGTCGTGTGGAGCATGGGCATGTGGAGCATGGTCGTGTGGAGCATGGTCTAGTGTGGAGCACGAACAAGTGTGGGGCATGGTCCAGTGTGGAGCATGTTCCAGTGTGGAATAAGAACATGTGTGGAGCATGGTGCAGTGGAGTTTTTACCAATGTGGAGCATGGCCCAGTGTGGAGTGTGAACCAGTGTGGAGCATGATTTAGTTTGGAGCATGGTCCAGTGGAATATTTACCAATGTGGAGCATGGTGCAGTGTGCGCGAGTGTGAACCAGTGTGGAGCATGGTCCAGTGTGGAGTATGAACCCGTGTGGAGCATGGGCCGGTGTGGAGTATGAATCAGTGTGGAGTGTGAACCAGTGTGGAGCATAGTCCAGACGTGAGGAGCATGGTGCACACTTACTGCTTGAAGCCTAGTCCGGTCAATGCAGTAAGCGTGGGGATCACCAGGCAATTCAAGCCAGATGTTCCAGCTGCTCTGAGCATGGTCCGGTCAATGTCAGGAGTATGGGAGTATGAGGGTCTGGAAGCACTGGAGCACTGAAGCATGTACGGTATTGAGCAGAGTAATTTGGTCTGGCCCAGTCACTGCCAGTGACAGCCTCGGTGCAATTTTGTCCCTGTCTTCAATGGATGAGTTTCTTCCCCAGAAAAAAATAACTATTAAACAGCCTGACCCATTGGTGTAGGTGCTGTCTGGCAGTGTTCCAGGGATTTCTGGAATGCCACCGGCTCACTCTTGTGTTGTGTGGGGGAGCGAATAGTTATTTATGTGCCAAATTTCACTAAGGAGTAAAATATCGAAATTCTGCGTCAACAACTGCAGGTTTCAAGACCCCCAGCAGTGCTGCATCTCAGTTGCCAGACGGTCCTAAATACAATGAAATTAGTCCCAGAGAAAGGCATTGTATATGGTAAATGTTATAAGCAAGAATTCAAATATTTGCTAGAGTATTTAACTTTGTTTTGGATATAGTGATGCAACTTCTACCGAGACGAACATAAATTAGATAAAACTGGCAATGTGGTAACTGGTGTAGGTGAGCGGGCGGGCTGGGGTCGAGACTGAGACAGCAGTAGTAGTGCCTCAGGAAACATCGGGTGGGGAGGTACGCATCTCCCCTAGCACTTATAGTATATTTTTTAATATTTACACTTTTCTTCAATGCTCGTCAGTGATTACCATTAATTATTTTCAGAGTTTTTGTCATGGTAAATAGTTCTGAAAACAACGTGGAATTTTATGAAGTGCCTAGCTAAAAAAACAGTGATACTTATTTCAACCGCAGATAAGACAGTTGTTTACATAAATACAGTCGATATCTACAATACAGTATTTTTATGTAGTTACTGAAATCAAGCGTATCGTTGGTGTAGATTTGCATCAGTAGAGGCGGCGAGTGGATTGTGTCTGAGATGACCTGATGCCGGGTTAATTCTCTCTCTCTCTCTCTCTCTCTCTCTCTCTCTCTCTCTCTCTCTCTCTCTCTCTCTCTCTCTCTCTCTCTCTCTCTCTCTCTCTCTCTCTCTCTCTCTCTTCTCTATCTCGCTCTGTCCTCTCTATCTCGCTCTCTCTTCTCTATCTCGCTCTCCTCTCTATCTCGCTCTCCTCTCTATCTCGCTCTCTCCTCTCTATCTCGCTCTCTCTTCTCTATCTCGCTCTCCTCTCTATCTCGCTCTCTCCTCTCTATCTCGCTCTCTCTCTCTTTCTCTGTCCCTCTCTCTTTCTGTTCCTCTCTCTTTCTCTGTCCCTCTCTCTTTCTCTGTTCCTCTCTCTTTCTCTCTCTCTCTCTCTCTCTCTCTCTCTCCTCTCTCTCTCTCTCTCTCTCTCTCTCTCTCTCTCTCTCTCTCTCTCTCTCTCTCTCTCTCTCTCTCTCTCTCTCTCTCTCTCTCTCTCTCTCTCTCTCTCTCTCCTCTCTCTCTCTCTCTCTGGTACACTGGCATCACTTAACAACTTTCAGAATCTCCTACTGTGATGCCTACCACTTAAAAGTCCGCGGTTGAAGGTAGGCCCTAATTAGCTGTAAGATGAAGCTTATGTTCCCCAATACCAGTACTGGGGAATACTGGTATTCCAGTGACCCGTGCCACTTAGCGGAGACGTTTAACAAAAGACCAGCAGCAAAACTATCTTTCCTGAAACCATATTGTCGACAACACCGTAACCCATCACTGTAAACAAACTATTTGTTGTGAAATTATTATCTCAAGGATTTTACCAGTAATTAAAAGAATTGACTCTGGTTTTAATTACTATCTGTTAATTATCTATTAATAGATAGTAATTAATTACTATCGACTACCATACAGTTCTGTTTTGTAAACAGAAAACTGCATGTGTTCTTTTTCCATAGGAAGGACCATATTCCCTGATTACGTCACAGTTGGTAAAACCGAGTGAGAGGCAAGACCATCAGGTCCGCACAATAGTCTCTGTCCGGCTTTATCCGGCCCAACTGCCTGACTTATGTAAGCGATCTATAGAGGTGGTGTATTGCATGTTTAATAGGCACTGCTGACAACTTTGACATCATGCTTGGATCAAGCTGTAGAAGTTCACACCTGTATCAGGGACTTGCATCCTGCTGGTTGCAACAGTCCCATCTTCCTGGTCTAGTGGTGGGATCCAGACTCTGGATCCAACTCTTATTGATGCAAGTTGTTTTCTTGTTTGTTATTTCCACTTGAAGATAGCCCACTTGTGAACTTTTGTATTTCCCGACAATCCGGTCTGTAAGTGTTGCTGTTGTGAACAGGAAGATGCTCTTTATATCTACTCCAGCCCAGGTGTAACATTTTCTTTACGTCAGATTTTCTTTTCATTTGATTACCTCCATCTTTGTTTTTTTATTTGAGAGTTGGTGTCCTTTGTGTGGCGGTGGTTACACTTGATATCACACCAGTAGTTGTAATCAGTGTGGACCTTCCACGACTGATGTAGGAGTAGGGCCTACATACCTGTTAGATTGCCTTGTCTGATCACCCGGTGATCTGTGCCGCAGAGTTGGTAGTTAAGCAGCTTGTTGGGACCGCTGCTGACGCTCTTGTTGAGGACGACATTGATGTTGGTGATGCAACACCTGGCTACGATGTTCATTACTTTACTGTTGCAGGCTGACAACTCTGGTGATGTTGGCCGGGTGCACCTTTATCCCTACTAGCAGGTCTGTCTCCATTATTGGTGTTTTGTTTGGAATAGGTATAATGTTAGGCTTCTTGTTTATCACGTGTTGCAGTACTAGGAGACCATTGTCCCCAGCTGGTGAGAGTACTGAGCTCAATACTGTCTCAACGCAGCGTTATAAAAGTTTGTACGGGAGCATCATACATCCCCACTGAAAGAGATCACGGTGTTCCAGTAGACTGTAGTGGGGAGTGGAAAACAGCGCTGGGGACCATCATTGTCATGACATACATAGCAGTTAGAAGTGAGGGCTGAGAGTTATTACGGCTACGAGAGCCTCCTCTTACCACTATGCTACTACTATTTCTACAAGTCTATTAACATTACTACTATGATCAATATTAGTACTATTCTATTGTTTAATATTACTATCTTTATTTTACCCGGTGAAGGAGATAAAAAAAACCTATATATGATCGAGGTAATATATTGACACCTTTTTTCACAACAAAATATATATTCTCTAACAAATAAAATACTGTACATCTTAACTTGTTTTTTAAATATTTGTAACTGTTATATTTTTCCGGCTATTTCAAAGTTTATTGTGCATGGGTTCGGAGCTTGCGTGACCATGTTGCCTTCCCAGATGATTTAGGTAACTGTGATTGCTGGCACCAGGTTTGTACCTCTCGTGATATTGACTTCTCCACCGGCATGGTATATTTTTGGCATCATCGCCGCCACACATGGCAGCGTTAGCTTCCCCCACCTCCACATGTAACATCGTTGGCTTCACCATCCCCACACGTGACATCGTTGGCTTCACCATCCCCCACACATGACATCGTTGGCTTCACCATCCCCACACATGACATCGTTGGCTTCACCATCCCTACACGTGACATCGTTGGCTTCACCATCCCCACACGTGACATCGTTGGCTTCACCGTCGCCACACGTGACATCGTTGGCTTCACCATCCCCACACATGACATCGTTGGCTTCACCATCCCCACACGTGACATCGTTGGCTTCACCATCCCCACACGTGACATCGTTGGCTTCACCGTCGCCACACGTGACATCGTTGGCTTCACCATCCCCACACGTGACATCGTTGGCTTCACCATCCCCACACGTGACATCGTTGGCTTCACCGTCGCCACACGTGACATCGTTGGCTTCACCATCCCCACACGTGACATCGTTGGCTTCACCATCCCCACACGTGACATCGTTGGCTTCACCATCCCCACACGTGACATCGTTGGCTTCACCATCCATCCCCACACGTGACATCGTTGGCTTCACCATCCCCACACGTGACATCGTTGGCTTCACCATCCCCACACATGACATCGTTGGCTTCACCATCCCCACACGTGACATCGTTGGCTTCACCATCCCCACACATGACATCGTTGGCTTCACCATCCCCACACGTGACATCGTTGGCTTCACCATCCCCACACGTGACATCGTTGGCTTCACCGTCGCCACACGTGACATAGTTAGCTTCACCGTCGCCATATAATATCATTGGCTCCACCGTCGCCAAATGATATCGTTGGCTTCACTGTCGACATATGATACCGTTGGTTTCACCGTCGCCATGTGATATCGTTGGCTTCGCCGTCAATATATAACATCGTGGGCTTCACCGTCGCCATGTGATATCGTTGGCTTCACCGTCAATATATAACATCGTCGGCTTCACCGTCGCATGTTTCTTTGACCCAAAGAAATTTTTTGGGTCAAATAGATTGGAAAGTCTTGGGCATGGGGGGGGAGGCCGGTCTTGGAGCGAGACATGAACCCAGCGATAGGTGACGTAAAGGGGATTTCGATGTGGAGTCAAAATATAATTTATTTAAAAATATTATAAGCAAAGCTCAGGAACGTAGTATAACATACAAATTGAATAGATAGAATACTAATGACCCGAAATGGATAACAAAGGATCTGAAGAACCTTATAGGTAGAGAGCTTGGTACACAAGAATTAAGAATAGGGAAGTCAGTTTAGAACAGGAATTCGTACAACTGGTTAGAAATGTTAAAAAAAAAGAGATAAGGAGGGCAAAAAGAAACTATGAATTCGCATAGCAGGACAAGCAAAGACAAATCCTAAAGGTTTTTTTTTAGTTATTTCGAACAAATATTAGGGAAAGGATAGGTCCATTAAAAACTGAGACAGGTCAGATAACGGATAATGATGAGGAGATGAGTAGTATTTTTAATAAATATTTTATCTCTGTATTTACTAAAGAGGAACTTAACACTATGCCTTCAGCCGAACAAGTCTATGTGGGTGGGGACGAGGACAGGTTGAATAGTTTAGCAGTTACCAGGGAGGATGTAATTAAATAAATAGTGAAACTCAAACCAAACAAATCCCCAGGGCCGGATGAAGTGTTTGCCAGGGTGCTTAAAGAATGCAAAGAGGAGCTTTCCGAGCCACTGTCTACCATATTTAATAAATCATTAGAGTCAGGCAGAGTGCCAGAGTCGTAGAAGGTTGCTAATGTGGTACCAATTTTCAAGAAAGGAGATAGATCACTTACTGCAAACTATCGGCCAATTAGCCTAACGTCTATTGTTAGAAAGTTACTTGAATCGATAACTGTAAATACCATTTGTCTTCATCTTGAAAAACATAAATAAATAAATGATTCACAACATGGTTTTACAAATGGCCGTTCATGTTTAACAAATTTGCCATCATTTTATTCCAGCATAGTTGAGGCAGTTGATAGTGGTAAGGTTTGCGATGTTGTGTACCTTGACTTTAGCCAAGCTTTTGATACAGTGCCACATGAAAGACTGATTAAAAAGATAGATGCTCGTGGTATTGGGGGTGCTATATTTAATCGGATTAGAGCATGGTTATACCAAAGGAAACAGTTAGTATAAATGGGGGTTAAGTCAGAGTGGAAAAATGTTGTAAGTGGAGTGCCTCAAGGCTCTGTCGTGGGACCTCTGTTATTCATAATATATATAAATGATTTAGATTCAGGTTTGAGTAGCAACATTTGCAAATTTTCCGATGATACAAAAATCGGTAGGGAAATAAACACGGAAAAAGACTCACTATCACTTCAAGACAATCTAAATAGGGTTTTGAAATGGTCAAAAGATTGGCAGATGCAATTTAATGCTGACAAATGTAAGGTTTTGAGGCTAGGTAATGATGATAAGAGTTACTAAATACGAGCTAAATGGTGTTGAGATTGTGAAGTCGGATTGCGAAAGGGATCTGGGAGTTATGATTAGTAAGAATTAAAACCAAAAGATGAATGCAAGAATGTTTGTAATAAGGCAAATAGGACACTGGGATTTATTAATCGAAGCGTTAGTAAAAGACACCTGGTGTGGTTCTTCAGCTATATCTTGCTCTGGTTAGGCCCCATTTAGATTATGCAGTTCAGTTTTGGTCGCCGTACTATAGAATGGATATAAATTCACTTGAACGTGTCCAGCGTAGGATGACATAGTTAATCCCATAAATTAGAAACCTGTCATATGAAGAAAAATTAACAAAGCTTAAATTGCATTCACTGGAAATGTGAAGAGTTAGGGGGTGACATGATAAGAGGTTTACAAGTGGATGAATGGGCATAACAAAGACATGTTATAACATGTTAACATATGTTAACAAATAACATAGGGTATTAAAAGTATCAACACAAGACAGAACACGAAACAATTGGTATAAATTGGCGGAGAACTTCAGACATAATTTCATATGCCCTCAAAATCCGTTCCCTGACTTTACTATAATTAAAACAATCGCAGTCAGGCATGTTTATAAAAAATATCTTGGGCTTTACCTCTAAGCCGTCTCTGTAAGATTTTCACCCACTCTTCCTCTGGCCAGATTATGGACATGGCCTGTCTCTGAAAATGGTTGAAAAACCTTTCAGGGGCGGTATACTTCATTCTGGTTTCCTATTTGAATAGAACATTACCGACTTTATTTTACGTCATATTAATGCACTCCAGGTATCAATAGACGGTTTTCTGCTGTGTATATCATTGAACCTAAGTGGCGTTAGATAAAAATACATATATAAGTACGTAGGTGAAATTCAGCTCGTGACTTGTATCTAGCTTGAATCAGCTGATTGCAGCTGTGGAAAACTTTACTGATAAACAGAGATATAATTTATTAAATTGAATTAAATCAATTTCCAATCTATATTACCTAGTAAATCAAACAAGGTTAGACTGGGTTTAATTTGGTTTATATAAATAGTTAATTCTCATAGGAACTGGGCGGCTGATATAACAGCGGTATAAATGTTAGTGAGAATTTGGTTGGACTACGCTACTGGTTAGTAAATCTGATTTCCTAGATACAATAAATTACGAAATTATCTAGGAAATTAAATTTCCTAGGTACGATAAAATAAATTTATTTTATCGTACTAGGGGGTTAGTTTTTGGGTCGGAAATTTCCGACAGGTCCTCCCAGAGTGCATTGGTCCTCCTATGGAGCAGATGGTTCTTTCCCGGAGCTGCGAAGGTCACTCTTGACCATCTCAAAAGGCCACTTCACTGTTTTCTTTTGACCGCATAATACCGTCACTGTAGCCTCTCTTGGTTTCTATTATATTTTTCATTGTACTTTCTTTGAATATTTTGCTTCAGAACCAACCATGAAGTAGCTCAAATTGTATATAATTTTTCATTGTTGTAAGTGCTGTGAGGAAACATGGTTCTGACTCAATTTATCTATATCTATAAGAGGGAACGTCTGTTTGTCTGTTGAAGGTTGGAGTCCAAATGCTGGCGGATAACCTCACCCAACATTGCAGGGTAAATGGTCTGGGGCACGAAACGGACATAGGCTGGTCGAGGTTGGCCTACGTTAAGCGCTTTAAGAAATATTAGCATTTATAGAGACCCCTCATGCCATTTTCAGGGTCAAGTGTGAAATATTTGGTATGTTTTCCCGACAGTTGGTAGTGATTGCAATAATATATTTTCTGAGAGACCGATATACTTGCTTTAGTGCTTCATAAATATAAATTTTCTGAGGTGAGGAAGGAAGCAGGGGACAAGGGGAGAATTAAAGGGGAGGAGTAGGGAAGGGATAAAGGGTGGGGACCAAGGAGAAATAGGCAGAGATAAGGTGAAGGGCGGAAGAGCGGGATGGATGGAAAGAGGGGGGGGTGAATAGGGGGAAAATTTTTTTTTTTTTTTTGCAGGGATATTCCTGCGCGGGCCTTAAGTCTCTGGCTGGCCCACTCCCACTAAGTGTTGCTTGTTTCTGTTTTACTTGGGCAGAGTATAAGTATTTATGACTCGTATGGTCGCTTCAGTAAGATTTTGCCCCATGTGTTTAACAACTTCTGCTCTGTTGAATCTAAGTTGAAATGTTATTGGGGTTGTAACTGTGCACTGTGTTAGATAATGTTCCAGTGGTTTGTCGGGCATTTCTCCACAGTGCTGACATTTCCTTTCATCTTCTGGATTCCGGAACCTGTAAGCCTATTTCCCATGCACATGGGTATCCAAGCCTGATGCGATGTAAATGTACTTCTGTTGTTCTATTGCTCCCTTTCATCAAAATATGTGGTTCGTAGTTGGTTGAATTCTTGTACCAACCTGCAGATCCTAATGTTGCAACTGCTGTGTTGTGGTCACCGTACATATTTTGCATTGCTCTGTTTATAATTACTTTCTTAATCTGTGATAAAAAAAAGGTGGATGATGCCCAGAAGAAACCGGGTGCCCATTTTATCCACATAGCCCATTCATTTAGCATTTCAATTCTAACAAAATTCCCAGAGAGTTGGAAAGTGTTTTAAAACCTTTATTTTGTTCTATGGTTCTACGCTGAGTTTTTCCCCCTCAGAAGACGTGAGCTTCAGCCGCCATCTTTAAAACAAATGCGCCGAAAATGTCTTTGTCAAATATCTTGTTTCCACGTCAAAAAAATCACAATGGCGAGATATATCACAGCTCGTCCTCCTCTTTTGGTAGTACTTATAGTAACGATGAGGACCATATAGTATATATACCGACGAACAACGAAATAAGAAAGTAGAAATTGGCACTATTGAGTTGGACAAACCGGAAAGCTATTTTTTACTTGTGTTGCTTTGAGAAACTAAACTAACCTAACATAACCTTCCTAGGCCTAATACACGATATTTGAGGCCTAATAAAGTACATAAGTATGCTATACTAGTTTTAGGAATATTTAAGTTTGTTTTTAGCTTCAATTTTTTATTAAATAATTCCTTACTAGTCAGTATACTAAACAAAACAAAAAGTATACTATTACTATCTAAAAGCTAAGTATGTATGAATTCGTGACTATTGACGATCGTCACAATAGGTACTATCTAAACAGGAGGATGGGTTGCATATCAATGAGAAAATTAAGCCATTCAGCCAAGATAGGACAAAAGCCAACCAACCCGAAACTGTTCTGAATTCACTTGGAAGTTCTGGGGACCAGAACTGGTGCCCAACCGGGATTTTATGATTGGCCCGCCTACACTCTGGCCTGCGGGTAATGGTGTTCACACCCTTATGCCCCTCCTTCAAATCACAATATCATGATATATCAATGAGAAAATCATTTTGCGGCAATGGGGTGACTTGAACTTTATATAAACGAAAAAATCGTTGGCTTTCGTGATTCAACACTTTTTTTCATTTTTTTTTATGTGGATACTAGCGCATAAAAAATCACATGTTTTTGTAACCATATATTTGAATTATAATAAAAGTTATGTCTTTCTTTACCCCAGTGATGTGCAGAAGGGCACCTTCTCCAGTGAGGTTAAGACAAGAGGGCGGATGAGAGTTGGAACAAGTGTGTAGCCTCGTTAAAGACTTGGGTGTAATGATGATGGGAGCAATACAAGGCCAAGAGAAGCACCGTTTGACAGAGCAAAACTTGCAAGGTTCGTGAGTGTGTTTTACAGTCATTGTGTAGATGATAATATCAGTTCAGAACACAAGCCATTTAATTATATAACAACTTACACCATATCTGCATATCCGCAGAAAACAATAATCTACTGCGATGTGAAATTAATCAACGAACATTTAAAACAATAACTACATAATCATATAATAAATGAAACCTTTCTATACAGTCTTTGTCATAATTCTGTTTACAGACAAAGTTTATCAAGATACTGAAGAACTGCTATCTACAACGCTCAGTATGATTGGGTCTGAGTAGCCATAACAACTCCTTTGGTGTAAAATGTGGTAGAAGCTGTCCCAGTACCAAGGTTTGATTTAAAGCTAAGCAGTCATCATATTAAGTTTTAAACTTGGTTTATGCTCCAAATTAACAAAGGAAGTGATGCGAACAAGTAAATCAAGAAAATTTGTGACAGACCCAACGATGTAAGGGTAGAAAGTACCTAAAGTCAAAGATAAAAAGGAATCTAGGTAAAGAAATGTTTTGAAGTGCCCGATTGAGTGCTGAGCTAGGAAGTACAGAAGCTTGTGCTAGAAAAAATGCCGTAACCAGTAGGCCTACTAGGCTGAGAAGTATCCAAACTATCACAAAGTTAGGTGCTTCTGTCGGTGCTAGGCTTGGATGTGCCTCAGTCAACACTAGGCTTGAATGTGCCTCAGTCAACACTAGGCTTGGATGTGCCTCAGTCAACACTAGGCTTGGATGTGCCTCAGTCAACACTAGGCTTGGATGTGCCTCAGTCAACACTAGGCTTGGATGTGCTTCAGTCAACACTAGGCTTGGATGTGCCTCAGTCAACACTAGGCTTGGATGTGCCTCAGTCAACACTAGGCTTGGATGTGCCTCAGTCAACACTAGGCTTGGATGTGCCTCAGTCAACACTAGGCTTGGATGTGCCTCAGTCAACACTAGGCTTGGATGTGCCTCAGTCAACACTAGGCTTGGATGAGCCTCAGTCAACACTAGGCTTGGATGTGCCTCAGTCAACACTAGGCTTGGATGTGCCTCAGTCAACACTAGGCTTGGATTTGCCTCAGCCAGCTCTAGGCAAGAAAGTTTTCGGTGTGATGCTACCTTCAAATCGCCATTACCACTGGCCGCGTCTACGTCATCACAGGGACACAACCTCCTACTGCAGTTGATGATTGTTGACTTCACTTGTGTGTACCCTCTCCTCCCTCTTCACACCCCACTCTTAACTTTTTCTTCCGTTTAGTCTGCCAGGAGTTATAAAGGTCTTGTCTTCCAAACTATCTCGTGCATTCAATTCCTAATATTTAAACTTACATTCACGTAATTGATCAACTTTTGCACCGTCTCTGCACTCTTGTTAACTATACTAACATCCAGACAATCCTGTTAGTATAATTCTGAGTGAACTAACACAAACATATCATAATCCCCACATGGCCGCCCAAGATTTAATACTAACATGTGATGCTCCTTCACTAAACCGTCCTTCCACAACGTATACAAAAGCAAATATATAATTCATAACAAATATTTCTATACATCCCATTACTTTATCATTAAGTGTTGATTTCGACATATTTTGTTACAGTAAACATTCATAAATTATGTTTGTATGTGTTCACATTCGGTGGCTGTAAGAGCACTGTTTTTGTTGTATTTCTGTTTTATTTATGTTCTACCTATATTACCTGTTATTGCATGTTCTGTTATAGCAAGATTATACTTTTGTTTTGGCTGCAGTAGTGTACATCCTAAGTCTCCAACGCTTTACTTTCGCAGTTTCAGTTAATTGGTTTTACTACTCTGCATGTTCCCCTAGTCACCGAGAACACAACCAATCCCACCAAATTTCACACTTATATACTCACCTGTCCTGGTGAGGCTTATTTCCAACACAAGGAGTGTGGACAGATTCATGTCGCAAGTAAGAGTAATTTACAAGAACAACATCAGCTGTTGCCACAGAAATAGAAGTAACATCAGCAGAACCACAAGTGACATCAGCAGAACCACAGGTGACATCAGCAGAAGCCCAAGTAACAAAAGCAGAAGCCCAAGTAATCACACACTCACACATTTCCTCCCCCCCCCCCCAAACACACACACACTCCCTCCCTATTCCTCCACAGAAGCCCAAAGAATACCAGCAGAAGCCCAAGTAACACCAGCAGAAGCCCAAGTAACACCAGCAGAAGCCCAAGTAACATCAGCAAAAGCCCTGATAACATTAGCAGAGGGAGGAAGCTTCAACACTGCAGAAAGGTTTAACCGGAGCACACACAGGTGGGAGGGCGTGAGGCGAGAGTGATGGTGCGTGAAGTGTCGATGAGGGTGATCCTGGTGGTGCTGGCCATCCCCACTCTAGTATGCTACCTCCTGCTGGTCGACGACACCACCCACCACCTCCACCCATTACCAACAGGTAAGATCACTACCTCGTTCGCACATCTCCCACCCTCCAGGTAAACTCCAACATGCCAACATGATTACTAGAGTTATTTTCTTCTTAATCTTTTTTTTTCCGTGGAAGCTATATTCTTGCTAACCACTAGAGCATGCTTATTATACCAACCCTTCCTCCAAATAGACAGTACGTTTTAATACTAAATGTAATAAGTACATTCTTGACTGTCTGCATAGTACATAACTACACTTACTGTGCTGTTATATTTACCTCCCCATATATTCTCCTTATATGCTGTTAATACACTCAAAATTTTTAGGTTGAAGTTTTCGTGTTCAAATCTATATACACAAGTTTTAAATATAAAGAGCTTCTTTTTCAGTTTATTTAACAATAGAGATTTTATACAAAATTTGAAAATATCCTGAGTTACTTCATAATTTATTGAAAGACTTTAGTTTTGTTTTATTAGTTTTATAAAATTGTAATATCAATATAGCTATAGGTTAAGTACAAATTGTAATTAAGAAGCAATAGATGTTATTTACATGCTTGTCCTCCTACACTCCCAAGGTTAGGTTAGGTCGTGGTTTTCTATACAGCTTTTCAGATAAACTCTTTCTCTTTGAGTATGTAGTTCCAGGGAGCCGTAGGAGCTCCCCCACAGAAAACCAGCGTTGAATGTAATGAAACGCCATTTTCTGGGTGAGCCCTGGAGGCTCCCTGGCTACCCTCCGTCCCATCTGGTCGGCAGGGTTTTTTCGCGTTGGTTGAAGCCTAGTTTCCGAACTGAAAGCAGCCGGCGTGGTGAAGTCCGGGGCTTCCCCTTCCCTTCCTGGGGAGGGGAGGGCTGCGCGGACGACCTGTGCGGCAGTATTTTTTTTTTTTTTTTGAGAGAGAGATATATACAAGAGTTGCTACATTCTTGTACAGCCACTAGTACGCGTAGCGTTTCGGGCAGGTCCCTGGAATACGATCCCCTGCCGCGAAGAATCGTTTTTTCATCCAAGTACACATTTTACTGTTGCGTTAAACAGAGGCTACAGTTAAGGAATTGCGCCCAGTAAATCCTCCCCGGCCAGGATACGAACCCATGACAGCGCTCGCGGAACGCCAGGCGAGTGTCTTACCACTACACCACGGAGACTGCAAAGTGCAAAATTACAAAGTGCAAAGACTGCAAAATTAATTGTTTGATTGTTTCCTTGAGATTATAGGGAGTTTCTACCTCTCTGTTCGTTTTTTTGTTGTAGTTTTTTACCATGTGGGGTTTGTTTTGTTATGCCTACCTTTCTGGGTGCCTGACCCCGGTCGATGGCAGATAAGGAAAACCCCCAAACATAATGGGGTTTTCCAGGGCCACTGCTCCCTGAAACCTCTCTGAAGGGGCCAGGTTCTGGCGCTGGTCCCTGGTAGGTCTGAACTCTATAGCTAATGTCCTGGTCAAACATAACATACATTAGCCCGATAAGCTCCAGGGAGCCTCCGGGGCTCATAAAGAAAATGGCGTTTCATTACATTCAACGTTGGTTTTTTTGGATCGCATGAAAACTAGCATGTGATTGTAAGTACAAATTTAATTACAACTGAAGACTTACATTAAAATTAGATCACTACAAAGCATGCATGTTTTTGTTATTTTAGTATTTACGAATTGTTCCTAACTGTATTGAAGGTTACATAATTTAGAACAGATGATGGCTTTGGGTCATCTATGTACCAATGCAAAAAGTATACAAAATAATCCAAAGTAATAAATATAAACAGGAATAACATAGGCTCCTTTGAAGGAAAGATTTTTTCAAATTGTTACAATTATATTTAAAAATTGTTAAAATAAATAATTAAAAATTACTTAGTCTAATTACAAAAGATGACATAGGTATGTTTGAAATATTAGAAAATAAAATGGAAAATTAAGGTTTTAACATTTGTAGCAAATACATATTAACATGAAATGGGTCACATGGATTTACATTTCTGAATTTAGCCTAATAATTTACATTAAATGTGTCCACAATGGAACATTGTTTGACGAAGTCTATATGATGACCGAACGGACTGGGGATGAGGATCCTTCCAAAGACTCCACCGAACAAGGCTTAATAGGACCTTTTGTGCCCTCTGTAAGTCTTTTTGTGCTACCGCTCACAGGATGAGTATGAGGTACACAATAAATTAGCCGCCTCCGGTGGCAACAATAAAAAATAAAGGATCCCCCAAGGTAATGTCTTCAGGTTAGGTTATCGTGTTCTTTGGGAGGGGAGCGTAGGACTTTCAGTCCATGCTCCTCCAGCGTTCGGTATAGTATGTACTACAGCATCACTTTGGTTGTCTAGTGTCATATAAGCGGCTTTGTCGATCCTTAAAAAAATTTACCTGAAGGTCATCATCTATCAAGTGGCCTCGACGGCCATTGAGATTTCTTTGTGTTACCAAATGTTTTCTTCGTACAATTTAAATTCCATCGACCCTAAAATAGAAGCACTGAAAAGGGATGTAGAAACAGCTTGTGATAGTAACGTGAGGCAACTGGTCATCATCTACCACAGCTTGAAGGACATACTATCAATCAAAACATTGTGCATCCTCTGAAGCATTAATACAGCTGATAATGTTTAGAAATTACAAATCACTCGACCAGCATGTTATTATTATTCTAATCAGTATGTATAGTACATATAACTTGCTTGCTTTACATATGTATTTTAGTTATAAGAATATTTTCACAGGCAAAATAATGTTGCATATATTGAAATAAAGCCATTGAGGTGATAAGTTCCTTAACAGAGTACGCATCACGCTCTCCCCCCACGGTGGGTTCCTGTGCTCGGTGTGGCCTCAACTTCCCCGTGGTGAGTGACACACCAATAGAGGACCCCGAGGACTTCTGGTGGGCTGACTGGGAGGAGGTCCAGGGCAGCAGACGAGCAGCTCTGCACTTCGCGTGTTTCCATGTCAAGAATGCAAAGGTCAAGTCTTTCACAAAGCTGTTGAATTTCCGCAAATACCTGTACAACTTGATACTGGATGACAGACACAGAGCAATCTACTGTTATGTTCCCAAGGTAACTAGACTTGTTCTCACCTGTGTCTTTACTAGAGCCCTTTTAATATACTGTGCATGGTGATGGATCACCCACCAACAACAATAACACTCGCATATTGTGTATCCGTTTGGTCACCAATGAGTATAATAAGCTATAGAATTTAAAAATAAAAAAATCACATAAATAATACTGTAATTGTATTAAAATACAGATAACCCCCAAACACAATTTTTAAGTTTATTTAAGTATGAATACTTCTTTAAATACTGAAATAGGTCGAGTTTAATATATGGAATACAGCTACAGACTTTCAGTTTAGTCAAGCCCAAATCGAAACACCACTGTACATAATGGTCACTGTATATGAAGTTCATGTAGATCTTTCTGTAAGGCCTCAATATCATTTTCACGTCCCACTTTACCATAAATCTTTGTCTTTTTTTTTTATTAAAATGTTTATTCAAGTAAAGTACATACATACAAGGTGTGATACAAATATTGATGAATTTATAGACAGAGCTAGTACATACAATGCCTAAAGCCACTATTACGCAAAGCGTTTCGGGCAGGAAAAACACTAAAGACTAAAACTTAATACTAATTGAGATTAAAGTATAAAATGTGTTGAGAAAATATTAAAAAATTAAAAAAAGGGGGGAACATGGCAGAAAAACAGCAAAAAATACAATTTGGTTGACAAACAGCATAGTTTAAAAGTAGCAGACATGGGTTGACAATAAAGGGGTAAGGTAGGTTACAGGGAGTTAATTAGGTAGTGCTTAGTTTTTATCTTAAACTGGTTGAGAGAGGTACAGTCTTTAACATGGTTGGGAAGGTCATTCCACAATCTGGGTCCCTTGATTTGTAGAGCATTTCTAGTTTGATTAAGTCTGATTGATTTGATTAAGTTTGATTAAGTCGCACTCTTGGAAAATCAAAAAGGTATTTGTTTCTGGTGTGGTGCTCATGGGTCCTGTTACAACCTTCAGTGAAGCTTTAATGATCAGGATTGACATTACAGTTCAGCGTTTTATATATATTATTATTATTATAATATATATATATATATATGTCGTACCTAGTAGCCAGAACGCACTTCTCAGCCTACTATGCAGGGCCCGATTTGCCTAATAAGCCAAGTTTTCATGAATTAATTGTTTTTTGGACTACCTAACCTACCTAACCTAACCTAACCTAACTTTTTCGGGTACCTAACCTAACCTAACCCATAAAGATAGGTTAGGTTAGGTTAGGTAGGGTTGGTTAGGTTCGGTTATATATCTACGTTAATTTTAACCCCAATTAAAAAAAATTTACCTCATACATAATGAAATGAGTTGCTTTATCATTTCATAAGAAAAAAAATAGCGAAAATATATTAATTCAGGAAAACTTGGCTTATTAGGCAAATCGGGCCTTGCATAGTAGGCTGAGAAGTGCGTTCTGGCTACTAGGTACGACATATATACATATATATATATACATATATATATATATATATGTCGTACCTAGTAGCCAGAACGCACTTCTCAGCCTACTATGCAAGGCCCGATTTGCCTAATAAGCCAAGTTTTCATGAGTTAATTGTTTTTCGACTACCTAACCTACCTAACCTAACCTAACCTAACTTTTTCGGCTACCTAACCAAACCTAACCTATAAAGATAGGTTAGGTTAGGTTAGGTTGGGTTGGTTAGGTTCGGTCATATATCTATGTTAATTTTAACTCCAATAAAAAAAAATTGACCTCATACATAATAAAATGGGTAGCTTTATCATTTCATAAGAAAAAAATTAGAAAAAATATATTAATTCAGGAAAACTTGTCCTATTAGGCAAATCGGGCCATGCATAGTAGGCCAAAAAGTGAGTTCTGGCTACTAGGTACGACATATATATATATATATATATATATATATATATATATATATATATATATATATATATATATATATATATATATATATATATATATATATATATATATATATATATATATATATATATATATATATATATATATATATATATATATATATAATAATACACATGAGAGGATGGCAGTGACTTAATGTCTAACATATTCAGAGAATTGAGTAGGGGTACTGAGTGATGTCTAGGGCCAGAGTTGGATATTGTCCTAATAGCAGCTTTGTGTTGAGTAATTAGAGGACGTAAATGATTTTGGGTAGTAGAACCTCAAGCACAAATACCATAGTTGAGATAAGGATAGATGAGGGAGTAATGGAGCATCACCAGGGCAGGGCGAGGTACATAATATCTGATCGTAAAAGAATGCCAACAGCTATTGAAACTTTTTTTTATATATTTAGAATGTGTCCCTGGATGGAATGTGTCCATGTGTCATCTCTCCCAAAGTCTCCTCTTGAGAGAAGAAAGGTACCCAGGGTCGTTACAAGAGCCCGGAGGCCATGTAAGGAGCTCGTAGGCCGAAGGTAGAGCCCGTAGGCCATAAATAGAGCCTGTGGGCCATGAAAAGAAGGACCGCAGGCTGCACGGAGGGTCCAGAGGTCGGGAGGAGATCCCATAGTCCGAGAATAGAGCGCAAAAGGTCGGGAAAGAGCCCGTAGGCCGAGAAGAGAGCCCGTAGGCCAGGAGTAGAGCCCGAAAGGTCTGGAAAAGAGCCCGAGGTTTGGCCAAATGTGGGCAGCTATTCCGGGGAAAGAGGAAGCTGGGGCGGCACGTGGCCGAGGAAGCAGCGTGGCTGGCGTGGGGCATAGGGGTCCAACTCAGGGCATAGAGAAGCAGAGGGGCCCCGCCTGGGGCCTGGGAAACCCCACAGGGCCCACGTGGGCAACGGGGTGCTAGCTAGGGCAGCACGTATCTGGCATGGACACGCACCCTAGGGGAACACGGGCACTGGGCACATGCCGGAAAGCACTATGGGCGGGCCTATGGGTAGGGAACAAAAGAAAACCCCACTAGGAGTGTGGAAACAACTGTACCTTAGGGCATCTGGTGCATGGCAGGAGGTTCCGGCCGGGTCACACTTAGAGGTCGATGGGCCCGCGTCGACGATATCGGACAGGCAGAGGTCCGGGGCCGTGGTAGCCATAGTTGGAGCCATGTTGAGCTGTTAAACACTGTCCTATTCCGTCGAAAACCTCGTCGGTGCTTGGTGTCCTAGTTGACATGGGTGGCGAGTCAGCGGCGGCGCTTATGCCCGGTCAAGCGGGCAGTGGCTGGAGTTGAACAGAGGTCGTGACCTGATTGACTGATAAAGATTAAGCCATCCAAGAGATGGCACAGGCATGAATAGCCCGTAAGGGTCGTGACCTCTCCCGCTCATGCGCCCCCGTTGCTGGGCGCATGCCACAAAGCGTTATTCATATGTTTTCTTCCCCCAGAAACTCCACTGCTTTCAAGCAAGCAGTGACTATTTTCCATTGGTAGGTGGTGAGTGTTAGTGGTTTAATATGTCTTACTCCAACATTTGGCTGAAGTGTAGATTTATTTTATTAGCAAAATTAGGTATACACAGCAATGTGCTGCTACCGTATTCTATATGAGATATTACACAGTGTAGATCAAGAACTAGCTTTAGGTTCAACTATTATTCCCATCTCACAGGGTGGTTAGTCATACGTGCGGATGCACTCCGGTGTTAGGGTGGGGCTGTGGTTAAATATAAATATTTAAGTTATTATATACACAATTCAAATATTTCTATATTTTATATATACAAGAGTTCTTACATTCTTGTAAAGCCATGGAAACATATTATGAGATAATTTACCCACATGACTGTTATAGGTTTTAGAGTAAGTTACATACATTAACTGAAACATTTATATCAGTACTGTAGATTTGAACTATACCATTAGGTCTACTTTAGGTGGCATGCACGAACTGGAAGCGAATGATGATGATCTTGTCTGGACGGACGAACGAAACCAACCCTCTCAACATCAGTTCCAGCATTCCCCATGAAGAGGGTGTGCTAACGAGGCTATCAGGGTCACGCATGAAGGTATACAAAATGTCAATTTAATGTGTGTGAATAAACAAAATATATTCGTGGATTCTACATACTGAGTATATGATCAAGATATAATCTGTATTGATTAAGGGCCTGATTTATTCGTAAAAGCATATACAATACAGTGTTTAATTTGGAATCTTTGAGTTAATGCATGATTCTATTAAATAAATAAATAAATTCTATTAACTATTTTTTGTGTGAGATGGTAAAATTATAGGTAGGAACACTGACACTGGAAAAACTTATGTAATACCCACTGAGACACACCTCAATTCTTTCCTTGATGACTGTGGGATATCAACCGAATAACCAGAAATATAAATTATAGTCTCATCTAACTACCAAAGTGTAATATAGCTCTGCTTTTCCTTTCAAAAGTTTTTTTTTTAATTATCATGTTATTGTCCTTTTTTCTTGTTTTTTATTACTCTATTTTATATATACTGTACTCCATATACATCCTTGTTCCATTGTACACTGGCCTTGCCTGTGTCCTCTAGTATAAACTTTATCATTCAGTGTATCTCTAAGTAATCTACCTCATTTTTGTTTTAGTGTAACTTTAATAATTAACTATAGTGTAATTATATTATTAAAGTAAGCTATTATTTTATAGATTATCAATTGTTATTAGCTATTACTGTCTCATTTCAGTGATCTTCATTTTATATTATTTGTTTCTGTTATATATATATATGTCGTACCTAGTAGCCAGAACGCACTTCTCAGCCTACTATGCAAGGCCCGATTTGCCTAATAAGCCAAGTTTTCCTGAATTAATATATTTTCTCTAATTTTTTTCTTATGAAATGATAAAGCTACCCATTTCATTATATATGAGGTAAATTTTTTTGGTTGGAGTTAAAATTAACGTAGATATATGACCGAACCTAACCAACCCTACCTAACCTAACCTAACCTATCTTTATAGGTTAGGTTAGGTTTGGTAGCCAAAAAAGTTAGGTTAGGTTAGGTAGGTTAGGTAGTCGAAAAAACATTAATTCATGAAAACTTGGCTTATTAAGCAAATCGGGCCTTGCATAGTAGGCTGAGAAGTGCGTTCTGGCTATTAGGTACGACATATATATATATATATATATATATATATATATATATATATATATATATATATATATATATATATATATATATATATATATATATATATATATGTCGTACCTAGTAGCCAGAACGCACTTTTTGGCCTACTATGCAAGGCCTGATTTGCCTAATAAGCCATGTTTTCCTGAATTAATATATTTTCTCTAATTTTTTTCTTATGAAATGATAAAGCTACCAATTTCATTATGTATGAGGTCAATTTTTTTTTATTGGAGTTAAAATTAAGATAGATATATGACCGAACCTAACCAACCCTACCTAACCTAACCTAACCTATCTTTATAGGTTAGGTTAGGTTAGGTAGCCGAAAAAGTTAGGTTAGGTTAGGTTAGGTAGGTTAGGTTGTCGAAAAACAATTAATTCATGAAAACTTGGCTTATTACGCAAATCGGGCCTTGCATAGTAGGCTGAGAAGTGCGTTCTGGCTACTAGGTACGACATTATATATATATATATATATATATATATATATATATATATATATATATATATATATATATTTTTTCTCTCTGTTTACCCATAATTATTTTATATGTTTAGCAGATTTAGTATTTTACTGCTCTGAACTTGCTTTCCTTATTGTACCTTGACTCCATTGCTTCCAAATGCAAGCTGATATTGATCCTGAACAAAATCTACTATTTAAAATATACAATACCCAACACGCTGATCATCACCACTGCTGGTATTACACAGCACACCAGGCAAAAAAACAAACTCCGAAATAACATTTGCTTATCAGTTTTTAACCAAAATGTCAGATCACTTGGTAAACATTTTGATGATACAAATGCACTACTCTCAGCGCTAAGGAACTGAACTATCGTTCACTATTTTAACAGAAACCTGGCTAAGTAAAGATCATACCCAACTTTTCAACTTAGCTGGTTATAGAGCCATTCACAACTGTAGGTCTAACAAAAAAAAAAAGTGTTGAATGTAATTAAACGCCATTTTCTGGGTGAGTCCTGGAGGCTCCCTGGAGCTATCCCAAGCTAATATGCTAATGTCAGACTTTGACATCAGTCATGTGTATGGAGTTCTTAGGCCTACCGGGGACAACGGCCAGAACCGGGCATCCTCAGAGAGGCAAGGGGAGCAATGGCCTATAGAAACGCCGGTGTGGTTGGAAGCATTCTATGTATTTATTCAATTACAACATTATGGAGTCAGAGGTCACTCCCTGCAGTACCTCAAATCTTACTTTACTGACAGGCTCCAATATGTTTCTGTGAATAATTCAATTTCTCCCACCCTACCCAGCAACATTGGTGTTCCCCAGAGCAGCATACTTGGCCCTCTCCTCTTTCTCATCTACATTAATGACCTTCCAAATGCCTCCCAACATCTCAAACCAATTCTATTTGCTGACGACACAACCTTCATTTACTCCAGTCCTGACCTCCTTGCTCTAAATGTCACAGTGAATACTGAGCTAAATAAAGTCCATCACTGGCTAACTGCCAACAAACTCACCCTCAATATTGACAAAACTTTCTAGATTTTGTTTGGCAACAAAACCTCAAATCAAATAAATCTCAGGATTAACAATACCCAAATTTGTAACAAAGTAGATGGCAAATTCCTTGGCGTTCTCATTGACCACAAGCTGAATTTCCAGGAACACATTCTAAATATATCAAAAAAAGTTTAAAAAACTGTTGGCATTCTTTCTAAGATCAGATATTATGTACCTTGCCCTGCCCTGGAGACACTGTATTACTCTCTCATCTATCCTTATCTCAACTATGGAATTTGTGCTTGGGGTTCTACTACCCAAAATCATTTACGTCTTCTAATTACTCAACACAAAGCTGGTATTAGTACAACATCTAACTCTGGCCCCAGACATCACTCGGTACCCTTACTCAAATCTCTGAATATGTTAGATATTAAGTCACTGCACATCCTCTCATGTGTATTTTATATATATATAAAACACTGAACTGTAATGTCAATCCTGACGTTAAAAGCTTCCTAGAAGGTTATAACATATCCCATGAGCACCACACCAGAAACAAATACCTATTTGATGTTCCAAGAGTACGACTTAGTGAAACTAGAAATGCTTTACAAATCAAGGGACCTCGAATGTGGAATGACCTTCCAAATTATGTTAAAGACTGTATCTCTCCCAACCAGTTTAAGATAAAAACTAAGTACTGCCTAATTAACTCAATGTAACCTACCTCACCCCTAAATGTCAACCCATGTTTACGATTTTAAACAATGCTGTTTGTTGACCAAATTGTATTTTTGCTTTTTCTGCCATGTTTCCCCCACCCCCTTTTTTCATTATTTTCTTTTTTTCTCAACACAATTTATACTTTAATCGTTTTGTGATAGTTACTCAAATAATATATGTATGATTTGTGCTGTTTAAGGGTTAAAAATATTTAATATTTTTACTTTTTTTTTTACCCCAAAGGAAATGGAATTACTGTACTATTATCTTAACAAAACAGATATATCCTTATGAAAGCGAAAGGTGCATTCGATTATTCCTAGGGTTTCACTAGGTTTTTAATGCAGCTCTGACTTGTTGTGCATCTTCAACGAATGGTGAAATGAAACTCTTAGGTCATATTTTTCATCAGTTTGCTGCTGTATATGGTTGTGTTGCTGATAAGATAGTTGTAATATGCATTCATATGTCCTACATGTAAGGTCTTATGTGGAGGAAAATTGACTCGAATGTTGACCAGACCACACACACTAGAAGGTGAAGGGATGACTCAGATATGAAAACAAATACAGTATACAGTAGTTTTAAAATGTGATGATGAAGAGAAAAGTATTTTAAAAATCTGTACAAGATTCATAACTTATTATGAGTATAATTTGGCTGTTTTAGAAATGTTTCCACACGAGACATGGAGAAAATGTAGCAGTCAAAATAATTTGTGTGCCCTTTTATAATCTGATTTTAATATATTATTCTGTTTACAGTCTTCACTGCTGAACTATAAGCTGAGAACATACACAAAATTTCTCATTGTACGGCATCCAATGGAGAGATTAGTGTCTGCGTATAGAAATAAATTGGTTATAAACTCCACCTCTGCTGCAGATTTTAAAAGAAGGTATGGTATGATGATCATGAAGAAATATCGTAAGGGAGCAAGCACCTTGAATATAACAAAAAATGGACATGGTGTGACATTTGCAGAATTTGTCTCCTATTTAACAGATACTGGTACAAGACAGGATAACTTTGAGACCCTCAATGAACACTGGGCACCGTATGTTGACCTGTGTCACCCCTGTACTATCAAATATAACATAATTGGGAAATATGAAACATTGGAGGAAGATTCTGAGTACATCCTAAGGAAGATTCATGCTCCTCATGATTTGCACTTCCCTCCTGTAGTGGCATCACGTACAGCAGCCTTAGTGGCCGAGCATATGGCTTCCCTAACACCACAGCTTAGCAGGAAGCTCTATGAGCTTTACAAGCATGATTTCAGGCTCTTTGAATATGATTATTCAAACTTGTAGCTTAACATTGTTTGTCAAAACATTCCATGGTACTGTATGATAGCAGAAATTTAAGAAAATATTGCCTTCTAAACATTGTAGTTGATAACATCATAATTGGTTGAATATAATTTTAAATACCATTACTATCTTATTTTCATATTCATTAAATAAGAAATTAAATTAAAATTATATATACTGTACTGTATATATACTATCTTGGAAATTAATGGCAAAAACATTGCTCAATATTAATAAACCAATAATACCTGGCCAGCAAGTTGTACACTACTACTAATCACTTTAAAACCCCTTTAGTGACAACAGTTATACAGTTACCTTGCAATCAATCAATCAATTCAGTAACACCTGATGCACTGAGACACTAGTGTTATGTATGTATACATTGCAGACACAGAACATAGCTTCCAATGGAGCTCTGATTATTTTTGCAAAAGGAGTCAAGGATCAATTAAAAGCTAATGAGAGATTTACAAACTACAAAGTAATGTACAATATAGACTGAAATCTTCTAAAACAAAAGGATACACAAGAATAGATACCAATTCATTTGAAATAGACACCTTCATTGTTATAATAGGTGAAATGTATGTTCTGAAACATTTTAAAATTCTAAAGGATAAATTCTAAATTCTAAAGGATATTATCATTCATGTAGATGTGATTCCTAAAATAAGGAAGAAGAGTTATTCAGCAATATTGAAGGATAAAATAATGTCAAATATCATTTTATAAATACAGTAATGTTAAAAACTGTATAGATTAACAAATAAAAAACTATGTAATCTGATGCTGAATTAGCTTTTGACATTTTATACGTTGACTCCATTTACATATCTAACCAAAGCTAACTTAATTTTAATGCTGCTATTTGCTTTTGATTTAGTGTTGTTTAAGTGTATTTTGCCTGTTGTGATACTGTATAATTTTTATATAAATTTTTCTGTACATTTTAAATTCGTGCAACCCTTAATTTGTGTGAGAATTACATTCCTGGCCACCACTGCCCATGGGATGGGTATGAGGTGCATAATTAAAAAAAAAATTAGTTGAATTGTACAACCTGATTAAAAAAAAATGGCCAATTGAATAAAATGTATGTTGTACAGGGCATATAAAGTTTGTTCAGGAAACCTCTAAAAGTTTAGCTTATTCCATACTTTACTCAATGATCCTGAAACTTTCAGCTATAAATAATACATAATAATGTTTAAGAATGCTTTGTATGTGCAATGATGTTTGAATATAATCCAACAAATTCATAAAACACTAAAAATATGGAGTGCATAGAAGGCTGACACACTGTCAATGTCATGGTAAACCCTTGGATCATCCAATAATTATCAGCATTAAATACCTGTAAGATTGAAGTGCACTGTAGCACACTTTGACACTTGTTATAAAAGTGCTTATTCTTATACAACTGAATCCATGTTCCTCAATTCTGCACAAATTAATGGTTGTCTGTACATACAGTACCAGCAAATTTCTAACATGGGTCTATGTTGTCTATTTTGTCTATAAAAATCTGCAGTACTGTATGTACAGCTACATTTTTATCCTATGCACACTTTTATTCATAACAGTGTGCTAAATACTTTATAAATGGGAATGTATTTAAATGAACAGTTAAATGAAAGAGCAGTTGTTACACAAAATATTGTTTAAAAGTTATTTTTTGTAGCTATGATAAGAATTGCAAAGATGTTACAAAAGTAACACATTTGTTTACCCTCGGTGGTACAAAACACACATACGGGTTCTGAACATTTGTACTTTTCTGCAAGAATTTTTTGTGCACTCTTGTGTGCCAGCAAATTATGGTAGAACTTATTCTTCCTCATAAAAACTCATTTACTTGCCTGTAAATGGTGTTGCATGAATTATTATTTAAAGGCTTTGTGCTAACTGACAAGTTTACATTTAGTATTTTTAATTTTCAGAAACTACTTTATCTTTAAAATGTGTTTCATTAAAAATAAAAGCATGTAACCCATTACACTTCCAATAGACATATTTGCAGAATTTTAGTTTAGTTACTTCATAAGAACCTGTCATCAATACTGTACTACCCTCCAATAATGCTGTACAATACTGAGTAATATTTATTTTATAGACAGTCCAGCTACCTTGATATGCAGCATTTAATATTAGACAGGCTAATGAAGAAAGTTATAACTCATCTCTTCCTGTTTCTCCTATCTTCAGTCTTATAATAATTAATAATAATTAATTGTATCGGGGGATAGGAAGCTAGTGTATTCATACACATTAAGCTTATATCAAAGTCCCCCCCCCTTCCCAGGTCGAATAACTGACCCCACCCAGGATGCAACCCCACAACAAGCTGACTAACTCCTGAGTACCTGCTAGGTGAACAGGACCATTAGGTGAAAGCAAATGTGCACAACCATTTCTGTCCCACTCAGGATCCAAACCTGGAATTCTCGATTGTGCATTTGAGAACTAACCCGACTGTACTACTAGGACCCTAATTCTTCTCCTTTTTCTCTCTCATTTGTCTTCTTTCATTCTTTTGATAATCACCTGTCTTCTTTCAGCTTTAGGTATTAGTATAACCACTGTACAACTAGTGCCAGTTGATCATTATACAGTCTCAACTCTAAACTACTGCCACTGCCTCTTATCCAAGTGTAATAATTCAGATTATCACCACCATAAACCCAGTTCTTCTGATATTGGGTCACATTCAGTGATTCTTTCTGAAACTATTGTAAGAAGGTTTAAACTCCTACCTAGATGACTTACCCAAGTGCTGGTTCTTTACCTCTTTGGCATCTCATAGTCAATAGTGTGATATTAACTGCTTAAGGCAGTGATTCCCAACCTGCGGGATTTAAACACCATCTAGGAGTGCCACAAAATTATGCATATTAAACAATAATTAAACAATAGAAATATCAAATTCTTACACCCAAGAGATACTACACAAAGTCCAAGGACTATGGTTATCATTAGAGTAAAATTATTTTGTTGATGCATAAATTATATAAGGGGAATATGGGAATCATTTGAAATTGTAGACTGCATAGGGTAGCTTCTAGAAAAAACACGTTGGAAACCACTGGCTTAACAGGTCTTCAGGGCTTCCTTGCATTTAGAGTACAGTATGTAGATTCGAATGACTATTCCCCAATATTTATTTTAAATGCGGCAATTTCATTGGAAAGCCGTAAGTCCATTGTGTACATGACTGCATTTTATATATCTAAATAATTTTAATTTTAATTGTTAATAAATCAGATTTTTAAGGAAGGTGTATATACCTGAATAGAATTTTGACTTGCATATTTTTTTGTTTATTCTTGAAAACATTTACATTCAAAATTAAGAATAATCGAGCATATTCTATTCGTACTGTACTTTAGTTGTTCTTTTGGTAAACGGTTTATGCTCCTGCAGTGATTTAACTAGTGTAACTGCTTCTTTGATATAATCTAATAAATTAAATTCAGTATAAATAAAGTTATTTATATTTGCATCAATGTCTGTGAAGTTGTCTCTAAGCCGAGCTAAATTTTCAGTAAGCTTGGACATTACAGTATAGGCAATAAATTACACAAAAGCCCCATAAATCTGACCTACTTCCTTGTGCTTTGTTGAACAATTTAAAATTTGGTATTTCTTTTGTAGCATTATTACAAGCAAAGGTAAATTGTATCTTTCCAGTTGACCTTGCAATATTAACAGATATACTCAGGAGCCCTTATTGTTACCAACCAAGATATATCGAGTTATAATATAATTTTCCAAAATATATAAGCATAAATGGCCAAAAGCATTTTGGCTACTCCTGTTTTATCAGTTCAAATGATTATTGAGTTAATGTTTATATCAAGTGAATAAGGTAAGAATGTAAATAAACAAAGAATGCAAGAGTATGTGTCAAACTCTTTAAGAGTTCAGTAATAAATCAATAAGATTATTGTCTGGCAGACTATATAAATGATGAGTTTGGAAAAGATAAATATTTTTTCCTACAAATAAAAAATTTAAGTTGCAGTTAGCTTTAAGATACCTTTACAGATTGGAAAGTGTTCAGCATGTACTATACTGTTCAGTAAAAAGATAAATCTTTAAAACTAAAACTCTAACTGTTACGTTACCTAATAAAGTTGGATTAGAACACTAACAAGGCCATATTGAAATTACTCTTTAATAATAAAAAGGATAAAATTGTTAAAGGGCACAGCAATGAATTGCTTCAGTTCCCTTGCTCGGCTCTTGAGATTAAACCTCATCACATCACTAAAACCCACCACCTCTAAACCTGTGTTGAAATAGTTTTAACACTTAGTGTAATGATTAAAATACTAAAACTGGTTATAATTATCACTGTTCAGAATATTGTACAATATGCTCTAATTAATGAGCTGATTTTTATGTACCCCATACAGTAATTACAGTAACTTCAGAGAATCTTACAGCAAAGTATTTTGAAAATAATTCTAGCACAGATATATCTTTATTATTGGTTTTAGGACTTTCTTCGGTCAAACAATGAAAACGGAAACAAAGCACACGCATTTCCTCTCTTTATCCCCCCATCCCACCACTATGTCTGTTATATGTAAGTTCTCTCATTTTGAAGATTTACCTTTCTGCTCATACATATCAAGGTTTAACTTTTTTCATTTCAACCCTTCATGTTATATGCATGGCCTTGATTATATTTTTGCCATGCTTATTCTTCTATAACATTCATTTGATTTTAGATAAATATTTTGTATGTACAGTACTATATGGTCCGCTCATTTGTAAAGTTTCTTTGTGACTAATTATACATTGTCATGAATTTGTGTGAATAGTCTTCAAATATTGGATAAGATATTGCAACAATTATTTAATCAAAAATGTTATTAATGTTTTTATTGATATTCATAGTGGTCATGAACAGTGGCCTGACACTACACTATAACCTTGTTGGTTTATCTCTATATAAGAATTTATTTTTGATTAGGCAGTGAAAGCACAAAATAACTTATGCATCAACCACAAAATTCTTGGTGTGTATTGTGTATAAGTATTACATTCACCTAATGTATGCTAATCACATGAAGGGTAATTGCATGCAGTATATACTGTACTATTGTAGATATAGAAAATGGACATGGTAGCATATCACTCCAGCATGAACATATACTAGTGACCTGCATTCTTGCTTGCTTAAGTATAGCATACTTTATGTCAACATATCATTTAAGGGAAAGAAAGCTGGATGTAATTTTCAGGATAGTTTCAAAGTGCAAGCATGTTTATGAGTGTAGCAGAGGCTTCTAATTTACAGTGCAGTCACTAATACACATTAGATGGAATGTGTTATTTAGCACAATGATGAGGCTCACATTTACACATGCTATTATTTGAGGGAGTGCAAAGTGGCTTGTAGATCTTAATGCATTCATGAAGTATATATGTGTACTTTAGTGTGAACAGCATAGAAACTTGTGAGCGAGTGATTGAAGAGCATGCAATTAGCACAATAGTATTCGAAGCAAAGTACAGTAATTAAAATACGGT